ATGGGGCTTGAACTTGGCCTGGGCACTGTTCCTGAGCTCTTCTGAGCTCTTCAGCTCAAGGTGTGTTATTTCTTTTGTGTTTTTCTTTTCCTATGGTTTATCCCCTGTTGTCACTGTATTTTATTTTGGTACCCTGGGTGTTGTATATATGTTTATCTGAATTAGGGAAGGGAAGGGGACAGCAAAATGGTGAGACAGCCAGGCACTGGTGGCTCACACCTGTAATCCTAGCTTACTCCAGAGGCTAAGATCTGAGGATTGTTGTTCAAAGCCAGCCCAAGCAGATAAGTATGTGAGACTCTTATCTCCAATTAACACCAGAAAAGCAGAAGTGGCACCGTGACTCAAGTGGTAGAGCACACACCTTGAGCTGAAGAGCTTAGGGACAGTGCCCAGGCAAAGTTCAAGCCCCAGGACAAACAAACAAACAAACAAAAAGGCAAATCAAAGGACAAAGGGGGAACCAATGCAACAGTGATACTCAAAGATAGTATGTTGGAATTGAACTGTACAAATTGAGGAGGGTGGTTGGGGGGTGGGAAAGTGGGAGAAAAATGAGGGAGTTGGTAACAAGTTCGGCAAGAAATATATTCACTACCTTATGTATGGACCCCTCTCATACAGTTACTCGTGTAACTGTAACCCCTCTGTACAATATTTTTACAATAAAAATATATATGGAAAAAATTGAAAAAAATCCAAAGTTTATAATACCCATTTTCAACTACTTAGTCCATGAAGGTTAAACTAACACTGTGCCACTTGCCTTAAGTGCCACCTCCTTCCCAGTTCTTCTGCCCATCCCTGCAGCATTGCTGCTACTGATTTCTAAGTTCCCATTCCACTACCACCCAGTACATCACTTTTTATATTTAAATATTTTATTCCACTCTACTTTTTTCTATTTCTTTTTTTTTTTTTTTTTTTGGTCCAGTTGTGGGGCCTGAACTCTGGGCCTGGGCGCTGTCCCTCAGCTCTTCATCTCAAGGCTAGCACTCTACCACTTGAGCCACAGCGCCACTTCTGGCTTTTTTGTTTTTGCTTATGTGGTGCTGAGGAATCGAACCCAGGGCCTCATGCATGCAAGGCAAGCGCTCTACCACTGAGCCACCTTCCCAGCCCCTACTTTTTTCTATTTCATTTGCTTTTAAAGTAGATTTTTATTTTGAACTGACTTTTTTACTTGTCCATACTTATGGGGTACAGAGTGACATTTCAGCACACATGCACAATATGAAATGATCAGACCAGGTTAATTGGCACATCTGGCATGTCAGATATATTTTGGTTTTGGTTGGGAGCATTCAAAATCCTCTCTGCCTGATACTTGGACATATTCAATTAGTTCTTTCCTATTGTAATCATCCTGCATGCTATAAGACATCCTATCCAATGACACTACTTGTTAACCTTCTTCCATTTCTCCCTCTTCCCTGTTCTTCTCAGGCTCTGGTAACCTCAATTCTGTTCATTATTTCTTTGAGATCAACCTTTTTTTTTTTTTTTTCTGGTCCTGGGGCTTGAACTCAGGGCCTATGCACTGTCCCTGATCCTCTTTGTACTCAACACAGTGCTGCTTCTGGCTTTTTCTGAGTGGCTTATTGGATATAAGAGTCTTCACAGACTTTTCTTGCCCAGGCTGGCTTTGAACTGTGATCCTCAGATCTCAGCTTCCTGAGAAGTTAGGATTACAGGCGTGAGCCACCAGTGCCTGGCTCAACTTTTTTTTTTTTAAAGCTAACATTCCTATATGTGAGATGTGAAGTATTGCCTTTCTATACCTGACTTATTTCTCTTAACATAACATCCTCTAGTTCTATTCATGCTGCCACAAAGGAAACAATTTTATTCTTTTTAATAGCTGAATAATCTCCCATTTTATTTGTATACCACTTTGTCTGTCGATGAACACCTAAATTGATTCCATGTCTTGGCTATTGTGAATAGGACTGTAATAAACAGGTAAATACATATGTCTCTTTGGCATATTCATTTCAGTTCTTATAGCTATATATGCTGCATGGGATGGTTGGATCATATGAGACTGAAAATAAAAAGCATCATCTATCATTCATTATGGTAGATAGAAGCTTTCAGCTGGAACACTGGAAAAAAGAAAAACTGCTTAAGTTTAAACAAAGTGTGTGTGTGTGTGTGTGTGTGTGTGTGTGTGTGTGTGTGTGTGTGTGTAGTGTTAGCTTATGTTTTCATTTAACTGAATATCATGAATAATTTTCTACATCCTTTATTCTACTAGAGTAAGCTATAATGCTCCCTATATATCACACATTTGAAGCATAATACTATTTTCCCAAAGCACTAAGAATTAGGATATTTTACTATATTTAACTGAAGTAAATATAAAAGAAAGAAAAATACATTCAATGAGAATCCCGAAGTTCCTCCTCCTCCTCCGCTGCTGCGGCTGGAAATACAACTCAGCGTCTTATACAGGCCAACCAATTGTTCTACACTGAACTCATCCCTAGCCAAGTTCAAAAACAAAGACAAAATTTAATTTGTGCCAAGAAAATTGGGAAGGCCAATGTGGTAAACAATTTTAGAACTTTGCTTTTCAGTTTGAAAGAGGCAATAAGAGGCCCCAGGTTCTTAGATTTGAGCTAATATCTTCAATTTAATGTAAGAGTAGATGAGTTGGTTTTGATTTGGTCTCCAGGAATAACTGCATTTTCCACCTGTTGGTAGTCTCTAAGCATGTATTAGGAAGGAGTATTGGTGAGTTTTGGAGTATGAGGGTAAAACGTGGGGAAGGTTTCCATCTCTTACCTGGCTCCACCATGGATTAATCATAGTCCCAGCTAGCCTTTCCTGGTCTTAGATGCTTTCTTACCTAAGGTGGACACAGGAATGAAAGGCTCAACTCTGCCTAGGCAGAGTCCAAGCCACTGACAGAATGATACAACAGAGTATGTACTGTTTTCAGAATCTTTTGCTCTTACTAAAATTCATCCAGTTAGCATTTAGCTAAGAAGAGACAGAAGTTGCTGTGCTAAGTTTAGAGATCTAGCCTAACTCTTAAATGACAAATGCCCATATCACAAGTCTTAGCAATATCAGCTGGGTTTGTCATAGCCTCAGAACTACAAAGGGAAATATGAGACACTTGAACATTTTATACCAAAGAACCAAACATCTTTGGAGTAGTATTAAAAATTATCCCAGGGTTAAGTATTTATTTATTCCCTGTCCCAGTACTTTCTTTGAGCAACCGCCTCACTGTTATTAATTTGAAAATGAAGCCTTTCTAACTACTTTTCAAGGAATTTAACCCGTGTGTGTGTGTGTGTTTGTGTGTGTGTGTGTGTGTGTGTGTGTGTGTGTGTGTGTGAATTTGTAGGCAGAAAAATTTTTGTGATGTGTCCTTTTAAAACAATCCTTTAAAAAATTTTATACCTACAGAATCACACCTAACAATGAAGGTCATATGCTTCTGAGCTAGGATTTGGGCTCAAATAATTCATAATAAACAGCCTACCTACTTCAGAAGGCTAAGATCTGAAGATCACAGTTCAAGGCCAACCCAGGCAGGAAGATCTGTGAACTCTTATCTCTAAGTAGGCACCAAAAAAGCCAGATAGAGCACAGGCCCTGAGCAAAAAAAACCTCAGGAACAGTGCCTAAGTCCTGAATTCAAACCCCAGGACCGGCACCAAAGGAAAAACAACAACAAAAACAACCACCTGCCTTGATCCAAGATCAGGTGATAAGAAGGGACACAAAAACTTGCTTTCATTGGTTTTCTAGGATATAATACATTTTATTAAATAACCTGGCTTCAAAAAGATACTCTATAAGTGGAGCATACTAAATTGTAAAAGGCACCAAGTAAAAGGAGAGCTGTGTTTCCACAGGCATCTATACCTTCTTGTTCATGCCACTACTTCACCAATCCCAAGCCAGCTCCATTTTAAGCATGTCTTACTTCACTCATTTCCTTTTTTTTCTTTTAACTATCATATTTTAATTATGTGAAGGGGTTTCAGTATATTTCCATACATACCTATAATGTACCTTGATCAATTTCATCCGCTATATTACTCTTTCTTATTACACAATTTTATTGGGTTTCATTTTTCTGTTTTTGTACATCCATCTGAAATGCTTCATTCATCTTCATGCCCTTCACCCTCTCCTAGCAAACTCTCATTTCCTGTTGGTTTTCTAAACAGTACTCTATCCTACTTTACATTCATGTGATTCACGTTGTTGTAGGTCTAAATTCCACACATGAGGAAGAACATGCAATATTTTTTGAGACAGTCTTGCTATGTAACCCAGACTGACCAGGTACAGTCCTCATGCCTAAGCCTCCTAAGTTTCTGGGATTACAGATGTATACCACCAGGCCTATTTTTTAAATGTCACTAAGGTTTGTCTGATGTTTGATTCTCTTTGATTCCTCATATTGATATTTTGTGTCATATCCTATTTCTTGTTAAGTCTGGCCAGGGATTTACCCATTTTATTGGTGGTTTTATTTATATTTCTTTTCTTTATCTGTTGGTTTCTGCCTTTTAGGGGTTTACTCTTTAGTCATTCAGTTTCTTAAGACAGAAACTCAGAGTATTGATTTGGCAGCCTTTTCTTTTCAAATCATAAGTGCTGCATGCTACGACTTTCCCCCAAGCACTACTTTAGGTGAGTATTACAAAATTTGATATGCTGTATTTTCATTTTCACTTACTTCAAATTCATTTAGAAGGATTTTTAGCTTTTTGGTTTGCTGTCTTTTTGAGCTTGAGAATGGAATTGTAATCAATTAGAGACTCTGATGAGACGATAATTGTTTTATACATGGCAACCTGGCAGAATGTTTTCACAATGAAGTAGAACACTGTCCTGCTAGTGTTGGCATTTTTGCGTGCACTTGAAAGAATATATTCAGTTACTTTTTAGTGCTTTCATGTCTGTGTTGATAAAATTTGAAGGCAGTTTTTGGAGTCCTTCTTAGTAATGTGTCTTCTCTTTGTTCTTTTTAGTGTATTACCATTGGGCAGAACTGGATCCTGAAAATGGGAGATGCTAAGCACCAACGCTGCTGTAAGAATTTGGGACTGAAACATGAAAAGGAAGACAAAAATAAGAACTAGGAAACTGAATATCTGCAAGAAAACACCAAAGGACTGCTACCCTTTCTGTAGTTGCTGTGGTCTGATGGGGCACTGCATTGTGGTGTCTGGGGTGCACAAGGCAGAGAACACACATGTCCGTCTCCCCCTCAGATTTTCAATGATTTTCATCATGTCTTGACTCTTTTGGAACAGGTTGACCCGACATCACGTGTCATCCAGTACACTAGATGTGCTCTGTGTGTTCATGATGGGTCTCCAGCACATCCCTGCTGTCCGTCTTCCTTCCAACACTGCTTTGTAAAACAGGGCCTGTGTTAGGATGTAAAAATAGTTACCATAACAGTGAATTGTGTGAGACTTTGCATCTTGTAAAATTTCTCTTTTTTCTAAAAATAAATAATAATAAAACCCCAAATCTCAACACACTATTATCAAACAAATTCTGTGTATCTAAAGATATCTTTAGAAATGGAATATGTCTAACTCATACTTCTTTTCAACAACTTTTTTTTTTTAAAGGGGCACACAGGCCTCTGGTTCTAGGATGAGTCCATCTGTGGTAATTTGTGGTTGGGGACAGTGTACTTGGAAATCAGAGGGCAGGAAACAGGAGTGTAGAGGGGAAGCAAATCCAATTGCAGAAAGGCCAGATCATTTTGACCAAGTGCAGTTGCTACAACTGGGAGATGAGAGAAAGGCCAGCTACATTGTCCATACAGATACTCTTCCCGGAGCTGTGCACTTATCTACATATCCATTGGTCCAAGTCATTCTACTCAGGGGTTCTTGAAGAAAAGAGCCAATTCTGTCAAAGCAGTTTCTAGTTGAGTTATTCTATTAGTGGCATATCTACAGTAGTTTTCTTTTTAAAAGCCAGTCCTAGGCCTTGAATTCAGGGCCTGGGCACTGTGCCTGAGCTTTTTTGCTCAATGCTAGTGCTCTACCACTTTGAGCCACAGCACCACTTCTGTTTTTCTCGTAGTTAATTGGAGATAAGAATCTCATGGCCTTTTCTACCTGGCTTCAAACCACAATCCTTAGATCTCAGCCTCTTGAGTAGCTAGTATTACATGTGTGAGCCACTGATGCCCAGCTCATAGTAGTCATTTTTGACACTATAAAATAGTGAGTTACATATGTGCATCTATATGTATGTGTATTTATGTAGATGCTATGTAAATAGTTATACTTTCTTGAAATGTTTTTGCCTAACTGTAGAGTAGACATCCTTATTTGATATTTTAGTAGTGCCGATCCTTTGTCTACCCATGACCTTTATAATAACATCTGAGGCCCTCTAGTCTAACCTAGTTGTCTATTTCAAATGAAAGCATGTCAGAAAGTGGGGAGTGGGGAAGGGGTATGCAATCTCCAGTGCACATCTAAGTACTTGGAATATAGAGTTGGAAAGGATTTGCCAGATTGCATTGTTCTGGACATCTAGCATAATTCACAACAGTTGAGCTTCCAGATTTGAAAACGTTGCATTTTGGTAGTGAGCTCTTCTAGTTCTGTGGGAAGTGAGGCTCACGAAGCTTTCCGGTTTGAGTTACTGAAGTAGATTTTAAAAGTGAATTCAAGCTTACGTTAAAGTTACTTAAGCTGTTCTCTAAGCTGCTGGGTTTGAGCTTACTGAACATATCTATCATATGTTTTCCTGCCACAACATCTTACTACCAATTAATGCTTACTGAACAGCTGCAGCCTGTTCTTATAGCCAGGGGTGATGGGGATGCATAGTAATAAAGTTAATGTGCTAGATGTTTAGATAGTGGTAAGATGTTAAAGGCTTTCATTGCCCATGGCTCCATTCTTGACTGTTGTTTAAAAGGGACACAACTAACTGGAGAGTAAGCAACAGCACTGGGGCAAAATGGCAGAAGGTTCTGAAACCTCAGAGGAAGAAGACCTAATGAGCTGCGGCTCGTTAGCCTGGGGAATGTTTCTTTTCTTTTTTTCTTTTCTTTTTTTTTTTTATAAAGATACTATACAGAGGGTTACAGTTACATGAGTAAGGTAATGAGTACACTTACTATTGAGCATTGTTACCCCCTCCATTGTTTTCCCCTACCATCCCTTCCCTCCCTACCTTCCCCGAGGTTCTTGTTTTTTTTTAATTGTGATTAAGTGATTACATAATTTCCCAAACTTCACAGTATTGTGGAATAATGATGCTCATTTAAAGTCACAAGTTCATTCTAACTTTCCTGGAGCAAATTGTCTATCATAGTCTATAACATATAACGGTGTACATATATACACCATACATGTGATCAGCAGCATGGGGATATTTAGTAGTGGTTCGACCAGATGAGTGGGAGTTCTTAGTTTCTTAAGTCCTGTTAATTTTGTCGTATCACCTAACATTTTGGATTTAGCATCCACTTATCAGGGAGACCATGTACCATTTGTCTCTTTGCTCTTGGCTTACCTCGCTCAACATGATTCCTTCTAGCTCCATCCATTTCCCTGCAAATGCCATTATTTTGTCATTTCTAATGGCTGCATAATATTCCATTGTGTATAGATACCACAATTTTTGGATCCATTCATCTGTGGTGGGGCATCTGGGTTGTTTCCATATCCTAGCTATTGTGAACAGTGCTGCAATAAACATGGAGGTGCACGTGTCCTTGTATATTGGTTCCTGTTGTTCAGGGTAGATGCCTAGAAGTGGTATGACTGGGTCGTAAGGGAGGTCAATCTTTAGCTTTCTAAGGACCCTCCAGACTGCTTTCCAAAGTGGTTTATAAGTGTACATGGGGAATGTTTCTTAATATTTAAAAGATGTAGGGGAGAGACAGAGTCATACATAAGATAGAAACAATAGGTATAATTTGTTACATTAACATGGATAATACTGGTTTTCTCACACATAATTACCAAGTAGATGGTGATGTTGGGAAGGTTGGCCATTTGATCAGAAGTTCTACGTCTACTTAAGTGAAGAGAGATCATTTATTCTAACTAGTTTTAAAATCTTCTCTCATACTATATAGGAAGCATGAAGAATTTCAGAAAATGCTCACTATTTTTGTAGCATTGAAGGAAGCATTTCCATTATTCTGAAGATCACTTTCAATAAAAGGACCAGTGTACACACATCATCAGCTCAAGGATGGAGGGAAACAGTGAAAGCTCTAGAAGGAAGCCAGAATGCCGCAGTGACATAAAAAACAAAAGGTTAAGTTGCTTTTGAAGGTCATGTCCAATTGTGATTATAGAGCTAATAGCTAAAATTAATTTTGGGTACAGTTCTACTAGCAGAGTATAAGAATCAGTCTTTACATCCTCATAACATCTCAGACTCCTGCTTATTTATAAGGCTTGCTGTTTAGTGTCAATTAAAACATCATTTGAATGAGGATGAGAGAAGAGAATTGTACCATGTATGGTGTTTCTGAGAGGCCTTGGCAAATCTTGGGCCCAGTACTTTAAACAAAGCACTGTGCCCACAATGCTGGGGAGCATTGTTTAATCTTGCCTTTCATGGTTTACAGGAATCCAAACTCTTGTGGCTACACAAAACATAGACCAAATAAAGGCATCTTCTGGGCTTGGATGCTCTAGAGCATCACCTCATGGTTGGTGGTACTCAGAAGGACATTTTCTCTACCAAGCTGTATTCTGACTGTGGATAGGTGCAGATGGGCATACAGAAATCTTGGTATTTCACTGACTTGATCATAAGGAACAAACAGCTCTACACATACCCCATTTCCTCTGATCTGCTGTCATTTTACGAATTCTAAAACTAGAGGGATGCTTTTTCTGTCACTAATTTGTTATTTCTGCCCCTTTTAGGCCAGGCACTTTCAGAATTCATTTTCAGTTCACTGCTTATTTAGGTCCTTTAAAAATACAGTTAAAGAACCAGGCTCATACCTGTAACTAAAGAGGCTGAAATATGAGGCTCAAGGTTCAAAGCCAGCCTGGGCAGGAAAATCTGTGAGACACTTACCTCTAATTAACCACCAAAAAGGCTGAAAATGGAGCTTGTGGCTCAAGTGGTAGAGTATCAGTTTGGGGTGAAAAAAAGATAAAGAACAATGCCTACCCCTAGCTCTTGAATTCAAGCCCCAGTACTAGCACACACACAAAAATAGAGTTAAAGAACTCCTTTCAAAAAAACATGGAATAACATTAAAAAAAATCCTCCCCCTAATTATATTGGAGAGGAGAGGTGTCAGTTTTCTGTTGGCATTGCATTTTCTCCTAGTGTTCAGAGAGCAGTTTGTTCAATATTTAGATCTAGCAAGTCATAGTATACCATTAGCTTTAACGTGTCTACTTCCTCATCCTCCCCAGGCTGATTTGTTCCAGTTCTTCAGCAGTTTCTATTTTAAGTGACCCTTGAAAACTGCCAGTATGGCATGACCAAGGCACTTAATGGAGATATCAGTTTCATGGTCCCAACCAGTCAAGAATTGGTATTGACTCAGTTTGAATCCTATGAGATGACCTTGGGACAATTTGCTCATGTATTGTCTTCTGAGCTAACATTGTCTCACTTGTCAAATGGAGGTAGAACTGGCTTGCCATTTGGATTGTTGATGGTATGGTTAAAGGAGAGAATGTTCAAGTCAACAAAGCACCTTGCACAAGTGCTGATTCAGCTCTTGCACCTTCAACAGGTTATGTACCCAGTGTTAGGGGTTTTTTGTTGTTGTTTCTTTTTTTTGCTTGTTTGCTTTTGTTTTTGTTGTTGTTTTTGCCAGTCGTGGGGCCTAAACTCTGGGCCTGGGCACTGTCCCTCAGCTCTTCAGCTCAAGGCTAGCTCTCTACCACTTGAGCCACAGAGCCACTTTGGCTTTTTCTGCTTATGTGGTGCTGAGGAATTGAACCCAGGGCCTCATGCATGCAAGGCAAGCACTCTACCACTGAGCTACCTTCCCAGCCCCCAGTGTTAGTTTTTCTTTTTTTTTTTTTTGTGAGACTACTGTACAGAGGAGTTACAATTACATGGGCAAGGTAATAGGTACATTTCTTTTCAAGCATTGTTGCCTCCTCCTGTTTCCTCTTCCCATCCCTTTCTTCCTATCTCCCCCTCTGCTTCCCCCCCCCCCCCCCCCCCCCCCCCCCCCCCCCCCCCCCCCCCCGCCACCGCGCATGCCTCAAAGTTCGTTTTTCGACATTACATCAGTGTTAGGTTTTTAAAGAGGCTGCTTAGGTACAAAGTAGGTTTATTCATCGTTCCCACTGCTACCAGGCCAGGTTGGCACTCCACGGGCTGGGAAAGAGAGCATCTGACCACCCCCCTCCCATCCATGCCTTATCTGGGGTGGGGGGGGAAGGGGGAGGAGTGACCAGGTAAAGGGAGGTGGGACCAGGTGGGAGAAAGGTATGGCCACATCGAATCCAGATGTGACCTCAGCAGATACGACCTCTTCCAGGTGTGCCAGTTGCCTAAGTAACGCAGGTACTAG